TCTGATAGGTTCCGGTTAAATGCTGCTAAGAATGAACCATGTCATCAGGTGAGAATGGTGACTGTCGCGGTTTCGTAGGCTGTTCTGTCATCAGTGAGGCTTCCAGTCGAGGTTTTATGAAAGTTGATGATGGCGATGATGCGCTATATAGTCGTTGCATAACAGCTCGGATTCCCTGCATTTCTGAATCGAATAAACAAGTATCATGGAGTCTGGCAGAACGAGAGGAGAAGACACCCGAGAATCGTTTGCTGGGTGGCCACGCAGTTTCAATGTGATACGGGTGCTTTTCAGACCATCCATGATGCCGCGGTTTCCCCGCATTCCGCATAGTTTCACGTGGGAGACGTTTAAGAAATGTATGGGTAAGGTGACATGAAAAGCCTGTAGCTCTTGGGTAAGTATCATACTGTCTTTCAATGCACTCGGAGGGGACTAGAAAATACCGTAAGGTACTAGGTACCTAGTCCTAGCTAGTTAAGGTACGCACCAAAAAGCGGACGGTTTGTAAGATGGGACAAGGTTGTTGATTGGTTTCCTCGAGGTTGTTTACAAACCCGGTAAGCGCGTGTGTTGTCGCGGGTTGTTGTTGTTGTCCTCGTTGTCCGTCAGCAAAGTACCACCCGGTCATGGCACCATCATCTTCCAACTCTATCTCCCCTCATCACCATCTTTCCCTCTTTCATCACCCCTCATCAATCTGTATCCCCCACTGTCAGCTGCTCGTCTCTTCTCATCTTTATTGATCTCGGATCCCAACCTGATTCATCACGGAAAAAGGCAGCCAAATTTGCAACATGAGAGGCGAGGTAAGAAGTATACTGGTTTCCCGAGCGTTTGCTTCCCCGCACGGCTCCCCTCCTCCACCCCTCCCCTCGATTAGCTTCGAGTTACCTCAAGACGACCGGCTTGTTGTGTAATTCTAGCCACTCTCGGAATCTAACGTGATCTATCAATCAGGTCTGCCATATTCACATCGGCCAGGCCGGTATCCAGCTGGGGAACAGTGCCTGGGAGCTGTAAGTTATCCCCGCCCACTCCATCATGACATGATCCGCACCGTCGCCCAGGACAGACCAGTGCTGAACCCATGGCTTCATAACAGATATTTGCTTGAACATGGTCTCAAGGCAGACGGTCACCTAAACCCCGATGCCGTTGATGAAACCAGATCTGCGGGCTCTTTCGAAACGTTCTTCAGCGAATCCAGCAACGGAAAATATGTCCCTCGCTCGATCTTCGTCGATCTTGACCCATCGGTAGGGCTTCTATCGAGTCAGTTCCATTGGAAGTGATTATACAGGCTAATAATTGTAGCCTGTTGACGAGGTTCGAACTGGGCAATACCGCCAGCTGTTTCACCCTGAAACCCTGATCAATGGCAAGGAGGATGCTGCTAACAACTGTCTGACTCCCAGAAGCGTCTGTCAATTATAGCAAGGGCTGACTTTGTCTAGATGCACGTGGACACTACACCATCGGGAAAGAAATGGTTGAAGAAGTCGCCGACCGCATTCGTCGTGTTGCCGGTATGTATTCACCCGGCGTCACTGGCTGCTCGAACGTACTAAACAATATACTTACCATCTCAGATAATTGCTCCTCGCTTCAGGGCTTTCTAGTATTCCATTCATTTGGCGGCGGTACTGGCTCTGGCTTTGGCGCCTTGTTGCTGGAACGCCTTTCGACCGAGTACGGCAAGAAATCGAAGCTTGAGTTTGCCATTTACCCTTCACCTCGCGTCTCTACTGCTGTTGTCGAGCCATACAACGCGGTTCTGTCGACACACAGCACAATCGAGAATGCTGACTGCACTTTTCTGGTTGACAACGAGGCTGTCTACGAGATCTGTCGCCGCAACCTGGATATCCCACGTCCTGGCTACGACCACCTCAACCGCCTCATCGCGCAGGTGGTGAGCTCAATTACATCCAGTCTCCGCTTTGAGGGCGCCCTGAATGTCGACTTGGCCGAATTCCAGACCAACCTGGTTCCTTTCCCCCGCATTCACTATCCATTGATCTCATTTGCACCTGTGGTTTCAAGCAACCGCAGTTCGCACGAGAGCTTTAAAGTTCAGGATCTGACCTTCCAGTGTACGTGTTCTGGATGGTGTCGAGGCTCTCTCGTAGATATGAAGAGGCGATATCTAACAATGCTCTCCAGGTATTGAGCCCCATAACCAGATGGTGGTTTGCGACCCACGGAAGGGCAAGTACATGGCGGTTGCTTTGTTGTACCGTGGTGACGTTATCCCGCGCGACTGTAACCAGGCTATTGCCGCTGTCAAAGCGAAGAATACATTCCACCTGGTCGAATGGTGCCCTACAGGGTTCAAGTTGGGCATCAATTTCCAGAAACCCATGCGCGTTCCTAACAGCGAGCTCGCTCCCGTTGATCGGTCGGTCAGCATGCTCGCGAATACTACTTCAATCGCCGAAGCATGGGGTCGCTTGGATCATAAGTTCGATCTGATGTATGCCAAGCGCGCGTTTGTTCACTGGTATGTGGGTGAGGGTATGGAGGAAGGCGAGTTCTCCGAAGCCCGCGAAGACTTGGCTGCGCTGGAAAAGGACTACGAGGAGGTTGCCGGCGACAGCCTGGAAACTGAGGATCTGGAGGCAGAGTACTGAGCGTTATCCGCGTTCTGCTTTGATTTCCTTTGCGTCTTGGTCTGCCGAATGCTTTGTTTTCGTTTTTAGCGTGTGACAACCCCCTCCTGTTTTTGTTTTCCTCAGCCCCCTCTTGACCGTTCCTGCTTTTGCCTCGTTTGGCTTCACTTGTTTTGGCCAAGAAAATTCGGGAGAAAAAGCTAGAGGTGCTCCGGGATCTGTAATGCTGTAATGAGTCTGCGGTCTAAATACGGCCAAGGTGGATTGTGAATGATGTCTATTACGTCGTTGAATAATTTACAAGATGCTATTCTAAGAGCTGGCGTGTCGTGTCTAGTGTATCCGAGCCCTAGCTGCCACCCAGAGAGTCTCGCTCAATCGGCAGCGATCTCCATATCTTGAAGCACGCGCAGCGTAGTCTCATACGTCCACATGGTCACCGCACTGGCCGGCGCCGCCTTGAACAAACTGACCGTCAGTCCACGATACAGGCCCCGAACGCCCTGCGTCCTCACAATCATCGCCATCGTACTGAAGACCCCCCGATACTCCGGAATATTCCGATGCACGTACAACAGCCGGGTCGGGCCCTGCACCTGCAATCGCTTCCGCACCAGATCCAGCGGGAACATCGCCGTCTTGGCCAAGACACTCGCCATCACGCCGGCCGCCGCATCCCCACTGCCCGCCGGCAGGTAGGGCACCTGCTGTGGCAGCGTGGCCACGACGGGCCGCAGCGCCTCATACGTCGCGAAGAACAACCCCATGTACGGCACCACCTGGCCCACCGCGGCGCTGCCGCCCCGGAAAAACCCCCGCGGGCCCTCCTGGCGCGCAATATCCCGCACCGAGGCCAGCAGCGACGTGTAGACGCGCTCCGTGCCCTGGGCGGCGAACCGCGTGCGCAGCAGATCCAGCGGATAGGTGGACAAGGTGGCCAGGCCGCCGGCCAGAGCCCCGGAGATGAAGGATTCGGCTGAGGGGGGCAGGCGAGTGGGTAGTTCGGTGGCGAGGATTTGGGTCGTCGTGCGGTAGGTGCTGAATTGAATGATGCCGTAGGCCAGGTAGAGGAGTTCCGCGGGGACGTTGCCTTTCCAGAGACCCTGTTTTTTTGGGCATGGTTGTAAGTGATGTGGTCTGGGGTTTGGGTATGCTTGGTGTATCTTGGGGAAGGGAAAGGCTGGGAAAACGCACTGTGATTCCTTCCTCGCGGAGGATCGACTTCATCGTCGATAGAGTGCCCTTGTACACTGGTCCGGTGACATGCTGGTGGGAGATTGGGTCGGAGAGGGAGTGGATTTGGAGTTGGAGGCGGATTTTCACGACGTCGAGGGGGGCGATGCAGAATCTGGCGTGGTTTTGGGGTTTCCGGTCAGCTTTGGCTTCGATGAAGCGATTTGGGGGCAAACGCGAGGCGGTTGCGATGCTTGGGGGAAAAACCATAACGTACCGTGAGAAGAGGCCTGCGATTCCGCCCGCGAGGACGACTTGTCGTCGCGACCCCTGAGGAAGGACATGTTAGTCGATTTGCGCCTTGTGTGTGGGGAGGTGTATGCAGGAAGTAGGCAGATAAGAGCAAGACCGGCTTGCATAGTCGCAGGAAGAAAAAAAGAAGTCCAGCCAAGCCCAGATCCATGCACTCACCTCATCCTTGAGGTGTTCGCCCCCGGCCGACATGCATGTGATTGCGGAGGGTCAATGGGAAAAGATAAAACCAGAGAAGATCGGCGGGAGGTTCGCGCGCAGGCGCTGGTGATTGATCTGATCTCAAATGTAGCTTTATACCCAATAGAAGGTCATTTGAATCTGGCTCGTGGCGTTGGAGAAAAATCCACAATACTTGTATGCGACTTTTTTTTTGACTGGGTAACAAGTTGAACCGGCGATTGGGTCAGGAACACGTCAAAGGGTGAAATCTGGATGGTCTAGTCCTCCAATTGAACTGGAGCCGGCTAATTTTAGTGCGACTCCGATAGTGAATGCGCTGATAACACGCAGTCGGGGTGTAGTTAAGTGGGTGCAATGATTTGTGTCGGGGCGATAGATGATCGCCCAGGGCCAGAAAAAATGAAAGGCGCTCCCGCGCGCGATGACGTGAACTGAGGCTCGTTGTACGCGCCATTGTTGGTCTTGGAGCAAGGAGGGGAGCGCATCGTGATTTTGTTCGGGAATAACGAATTCACTGATGAATTTTTCTCTGCACCACGTCTATGTTCAAGTGGTGATGCTTTAATCGTTTTCCGGTGATAACACTATGCCTGGCAGATTAAAGCGGCATGAGGCTAGTCCACAAGCGAGAAGAAAGCGCGATGCGGATTGCGGAGAAAGAGTTCGACCTCCGAGCCGAGGCTCTCGTTCTTGACTGTCAGCTGATGTGCTTTGCTTCCCCTCCATGATCTCCTTCCCTTCTTTCCTTTAGTCCGGTCGCTATATATATATGCTTCTGCCTCATCTTGTGCAGCAGCGCTCGGAGCTCAGATGAAGTGAGATCGAAATGGCGTCCTTGTTAAAAAGAAGCCTACTGCGATCTCCTCGCATCGCAACAGCTCTCACCCCCGCACTCCGCCGCAGCTACGCAAAGACACCAAGTCTATGGCAGGAAAAGAAGGAGGAACCCGAGATCTCAGCAGAGCATGGACGGTCCCCTGCTCCAGTGAATCCTTCCGTTCTCATTTCAGAATCTGAGTTCGACCCAGACGACCACCAAGGCGCCGCCCCCGAAGTTACTCACCCTGAACGTGACCGCACCACCGCCAATGAAGAAGGTCGGCCGTCAGTCAGACCCTTGCGGATCCCTATCCAAATCGAAGGTAAATGGGTGGACGACATCCAGGCGACACAGGATGCTCTTCTGATCAAGCAACCTGGACGGAGGGAGTTCTCGGTACTCTATCACACGCTGCGCGATGCATGCAAATGCTCGCAGTGCGTCGACCCGTCTACCAAGCAACGCAATTTCCGCACCACCGACATACCCCTTGACATCCAGCCGCGGTCTATCGAGATCAATCACAAGAGAATGGTGGTAAATTGGGACCGGGGAATGGCAAAGGGCGAGAAGATACACAGATCCCAGTACGACATCGATCATATCAAACACGGTGTCTTCGCGCCCCTCCTGGAGGTTGCTAGCAGCAAGAGACGGTGGCGAAAGATTTGGAACCGTGCGACGATCGAAGAACATGTGTACTGGGTCGATTACGAGGATTTCATGCAGGAAAGTGAAGAATTCGCCTTGGCCCTGCGGAGCCTGGCCGAAACGGGACTCATCTTTGTCAAGAACATCCCGGACTCGCGCGCCGAGGTCGAGAAGATCGCGACGCGGCTCGGTCCCCTCCGCAACACGTTCTACGGCCCGACCTGGGATGTGCGCAACAAGCCCAATGCCGAGAATGTCGCCTACACGAACCAGTTCCTGAACTTCCACATGGACCTGATGTACATGAACGAGCCCCCGGGGTTCCAGCTGCTGCACTGCCTGCGGAACTCGTGCGACGGCGGCGAGTCACTCTTCGCCGACACCTTCCACGTGGCGCGGTCCATGTACCATGACCGGCGGCCGTACTGGAAGGCCCTGACGCGGCTGGACCTGACCTACGAGTACAACCACGCGGACCACTTCTACACCAACACCTGGCCGGTGTTCGAGCAGGAGTTCCCGCTGCCGCGGGAGGGCCTCCGGCGGCGGCTGACCCGCGTCAACTACTCGCCGCCCTTCCAGGCGAGCATCACGGACCGCTACCCGGACCACGGCGAGTACGCTCTGGCCGTGAAGGCGCTGGCGTACTTCGCGGCCAAGCTGGAGGACCCCAAGAATGTCTTCGAGCTGAAACTCGAGCCGGGCCAATGCGTCATCTTCGAGAACCGGCGCGTCGTGCACGCCCGCCGCGCCTTCAACACCGCCCAGGGCGATCGCTGGCTGGCCGGTGCGTACGTCGACGAGGATGCCGTGCTCTCCCGCGTCCGCACCGTGATTCGCAACCGGGCCTTTAGAAATATCTGGAATGAGCGCGACTACAGCCCTATGTTTCCCAGGATGCCAAATCAAGCCCGTCGGAACAAGGATCCTGAAAATTGGATGGCAAACGTTTGGCGAGCGGAAGACGAGTCGGAGTCGTAGGTTTTATATTCCTTCATCGTGCCATACTTGAATATGCATGTGTCTCGCCCTGCATGGCTAGATGCCCGAATAAAGCGGATTGCTTGACTTGCAAATTTTCATCTGTCCCTCATAAACAATATATCGCATGACTTCTACGAGAGGACATACACCGTAGATTTTGCTTCCATGTAGAGGATGTAAGACGGACATTTTACTTCGAGCGGCACAAGACCAGAGACGGCAAGGCAACGGAAGAAACCGAAACCGGTGGTACAATAATTAAATCTTTTGATTTTTTCTCAATATCCATCGCTAGATCTTAGAGAGAACTTGACAACTGGGAAGTATCTTTGAAAATAAATAAAAATGACGAGGAAATACAGGGACCCCCAATAACGCAGACCTATTCTATAATACTCAGACAGCCTTGTTAACCGAGTACGCGGCGAGGAAATCCGGGTCATTCTCAAGTTCTTCCTTAACCTGTGATTGCGAGAGACGTTAGCACGATTAACTTGCTTAGAAAAGAAGCAGGAAGAGGCAAAAAGAAAAAGAATAGAACATACAATATCCAACCCACCGACCAACTCGCCATCCACCCACAACTGGGGGAAAGTGGGCCAATCGGCGAACTCCTTCAGACCCTGGCGCACGTCCTCATCGGCCAGGATGTTGAAGAACCCGTACTTGACGCTGCGCTCGCGCAGGATCCCGACCAATTGCCGACTGAAGCCGCACTGGGGCGCGCTGGGCGTGCCCTTCATGAATAGCATGACCGGCGCGGCCTTGACCAGCTCCGCCAGGCGCGCGAACAGGGCCTCCTTTGTCTCCGCCGTCGCGGCGGGGCCAGCAGCAGCTCCTCCGCCTGTAGCTCCGTTGGGCGCTTGGGTGGCGGTCGTGGGCGCGGAGGCGTCCTCGCGGGGCACGGCGGTCAATGGTGGAGGGATGGCGGTCTTCTGCTGCTGTTGTTGGGTTTGTTGTGTCGTGTTGCTGCCGGCGCCGGCGTAGCGCTCGACGGCATCGCGCACGCGCACGGCTTCACTGCCGCTGATGGACTCGAGGATCTGGCCGTCGCGGACGAGGACGACGAAGGGCACGGCGGTGACGTCGTAGTCTTCGGAGATGTCGGGCAGCTCCTCGGCGTTGACGCTCAGGAAGGCGGTCGTTGGCGGGCTCGTCGCCGGGTATTGCGAGGCCAGGGCCGACAGCACGGCTCGCATCTGCGTACAGGGCGCCGCCCAGGGGGCGTAGAAGTACAGCACCAGCAGGCAGGTCGGCGGCAGCGAGGAGAGGTAGGTCGGGAACTCGGCCTCCGTGGCCACTTCGATGAGGGCGGACATTGTGCTTTTGTTTTTCTTTTTTTGGTTTTTTTGGTAGGCTTTTTGTTTTGATTATTTGCTGGTGGGTTCGGGGCAGGAGGGGAGAGGGAGGAAGTCTTGTGTGCGTGTGTGACTGTTACGATGGCGTGGGGTGGGGGAGAATATGAGCGAGCGCGGGCGGCGGGCGAGGTCGGCGGCGGGGAGAGGGAGGGGGGACCTTTAGAGGGCTGTCTGTCGAGAGTGCTGCACTGGATGAGAGGAGAAGTTGTTTGCTTGAATCTGCTTCGTTGAACAGGTTGTGGTACTCAATCTGGTGAGTATATTGAGTAGGAAGGAGGGGAAAGAGAAAAGATGACCAAGGTAGCAAAGACAATAAGAAGAGCACCAGGTACTATGAACGGAACAATCGAGGGAAGAAGAGGGAAAGGATGATCGATGGCGAAATTTTGGCCGCTTATCAGATCGAACCATGTTTTGTAATACAGCTACTCCGTACAATGTAACTAAATTATTCCCCCCTCCTCCTCCACCCATCTTGCGATCTTCGGCGCTCTGCAGCGGGTTTGATTGGTGGGATCCGAGGAAAGAAAGCTTCAGGATGAGTAATCACTTTGCCCTCGGGATGGACGCTTATCGGAAATTGATCGATTCATTGAACTGCAACAAATGGTCTCTGGAGTCTGGCTTGAAATTCCTCGTAACCATGAGCGCATCTATTGCGAAGCCTACTGTATAATGGCTCTTGGAGCCTGCGCAGGTCCAGCTTGCATGTTTCGCAGATGCAGCCCTCCTGCAGACGCTGCAGCAACCACAACTTGAACTCATCACCGCCTACGAGATGCTATCATCACGTGAGCCTGAAATTGATAGGATCTTCGCCGCGCGACATCCGAGCTCTGTCAATCGTCAGGCGAATTATCCCAGTTTTCTCGACATCTTTACAGCGAATTAGAAGGCGATTTCGTGTCTGAACCGGCTCTTGAATCAACTTGCTGGAACCGGTGTAGCTGGCTAAGCTGCTTCAGACACTTCAACCCATTGCCGCTGTCAACCCAGAAATGGCCGGATCCAGAAAGCGCAAGCACGCCGATTGCTCGGACGACGAGAGTCCGGTGAAAACCAACCCAGACACAGGGAACGGCTTCGGAGTCGCACAAACCCTTGCGTCCCTTCAGAGGTCGACATCGGAATCAAACGACAACAACGAGAACTCTGCGACATCCGACGCCGGGGCCGATAAGGCGCCGAATGGAGCTCAGCGACCGAGCAAGAAGAAGCGTGTGGATGGTGTCAAGACCAAGTACCCCGTCCTCACCTACGTCGAAGGGCGATTACAGTCATCCATTCGGATCGCAGACCTACAGGGTCTGCTCCTATACTGTTTTGCCGATGGCATTGCACCACAGTGGATCTCCATCAAGCACTCCGGCTATGTACGAAAGATTGTGGTAGTGATGGTACCCGGCCTGGAACTTGGGATGCTGGATGGATCTATACCGCTGGCACCGGAGGAGACCAGCGAACAGATGGACGTGGACAAGGATACAGAAACTACGGAGAAACAGGAGGAGGATCCCAAGACGGCGGACTTTGCCCGATGGAAGCAAGGCCTGCCTCTGGAGGATCGGTCCCACCGGTTCAACCCGCGGCCATTGACGCGGGAGAGTCTCCCAGAGCCTCTGCAGTCGTTGGCAGATATGTTTCCTCACGCTTGGCCGGTGAAGGCGCCTGGAGACACGAAGTACAACAAAGTGCACTCGCCGCTCCAGGCGATGCTCCTCACGCCACTTCCGAAGAATAAGGAGAGTAACAACACGAAAGGTCCGAAACCGGTCAGGGTCGACAAGAACCAGGCTTCCCAGAGAACGCCAATCACTACATTTATCAGTTCCGTCGCGGATCTGCGCGAAAACGACTACGTCCTACATCCCTCTCTCATGGCCAGCGAGCAAGAGAGGTTGACTTTAGCGGAGAACCGCAAGCGAGCCGGTCAATCTGCAGAGGATGGATGGGTTGATACCCACGTTGAAAGCCTAGAGGCTGGCCAGGTACCGGAGGCTGAGATCCAGCAGGGAAGCATGACCGCTGGACGGGACGTATTGGCGCTGGATTGCGAAATGTGTATCACGGAGGGAGGCCAGTCCGAACTCACGCGGGTTAGCTTGGTCCGCTGGGACGGGGAGGTTGTACTCGACGAGCTCGTGAAGCCACAAAAGCCCATCATCGACTACCTCACTCGATTCTCCGGCATCACCAAGGAGAAGCTCGACCCCGTCACCACCACCCTCGCCGACATTCAGCAGAAGCTTCTCACCATCCTTACGCCCCGAGCCATCCTCGTCGGCCACTCCCTCAACTCTGATATGAACGCCCTCAAGATGACCCATCCCTTCATCGTCGACACCACCTTCATTTACCCCCACCCACGCGGCCCGCCCCTCAAATGCAGCCTGAAGTGGCTCACTCAAAAATACATGGGCAAGGAGATCCAAAAGGGCCAAACCGGCCACGACTCCATCGAAGACGCCCGCGCCGTGCTCGAGCTCGTCAAGCAGAAGTGCGAGAAGGGCGAGCGCTGGGGCACGGGCGACAATTCCAACGAAAGCATCTTCAAACGCCTTGGCCGCACCACCCGGCCTGGCAAGCACACTCCCTCAACCAACAACAACACAACCAATAATACCCCTGAAGGCCGCACCGGCGCCGTTGTCGACTGGGGCAACCCCGAGCGCGGCTTCGGCGCCCAGGCGACCGTCGCAATTGGCTGCGTCGACGACAACGACGTCGTCAACGGCATCGCCTCCGCCGTCAACGGCGACAACACCCACCCTTCCATCCCCGGCGGCGGCGTGGACTTCACCTGGGCGCGTCTGCGCGAGCTCGAACTCCACCGTGGCTTCTGCAATCGTCTCCCCGACCCCAACAACGCCAACGAAGCGACGGCCGTGGTCCCTGCCGCCGAGGAAACCACAGCAACAACAACGTCCAGTAATGCCGCTCCCACCGCAGCAGCCACAAGTACGACATTACCCTGTGAGGAGAAAACAGAAGAAGAGCGCCCAGCAACGACGCCACAATTATCGGACGTGGTCAGCCGGACGGTCGCGAACATCCAGCGCATCTACGACGCCCTCCCGCCCTGTACCTTGTTCATGGTCTACTCGGGCACCGGCGACCCCCGCGAGGTCGCCCGTCTGCAGGCGATGCACAAGCTGTTCCGCGAGGAGTATAACTCCAAGAAGCCGTGGGATGAGCTGAGCGTCAAGTGGACGGATACGGAGGAGCAGGCGCTCAAGAAGGCCTGTGAGCGGGCTCGCGAGGGCTGTGGGTTTATGTGTGTAAAATGAATGTGTACTGTGTGTGTTTCCCGCTTATCTAGGGCGGTTGGTGTCTTGGAATGGTGAAAATTGGGGGCTGGATCTCGAATCATGTATCTACTTTTGGGGGAAGGGAGCTTCAGGTACTCTACCAAGCCATTGATCTATTTGTGGATTTATGTGGCTTTGCTTGTGGGACTTACTCGATCCGGGTCTCATGTATGGATCATAGATATCATCTGATTGTTATTCTGATCAAGGGAGGTAGATTGTAGCCTTGACCTCACACGGAAGAGGAAATATTATTCGGGGGGGTGTCTCGAACAGAGAAGGAGATACAATCTAGACTTAACCAGCCTAATCCGTCCACCGGATTCACCCACCCACCCACCTACCCACCTGTTCACCGATACGCCGGTAAGGAGAAAACTGAAGGGAACACTTTTCGTGCGCCGAAGAAAAGAAAAGAAAAAGCATGGCGTAACCTTGGAAGGCCAAGTTTGGGGTTCTTAAAAGGACAGA